CTAGTTGTGAATGCCTAGGCCTATTATGCGCAACCGTTCATATTGTGAGTGTATACACAGACTGCCCCAACAGACTAAGGGTGGTTTACACATGTGTGTATATCTGTAACAGCAACAACGCTTAGCATTTATATTTCACTCTGTGGAGTGCCAATAAGGCTTCTATTAGCTCAGTAATCCTTACAACCACCTTGGTGCTGTAACAGGGTCGAATTCTCACCACCTCAATGTTGGCAGGATAGAAAGGGTGATGTGGGGGCATGTCTTGCTTATGACCCTCCCAAGTGTTTAGGGTGATGGGGAGGTTTGAAGGAAGGGGGAAGTAGTAAAAGGTAAAGGGACCCCTGACCATTAGGTCCAGTCGTGACCGACTCTGGGGTTGCGGCGCTCATCTTGCTTTATTGGCCAAGGGAGCCGGCGTACAGCTTCCAGGTCATGTGGCTAGCATGACTAGGCCACTTCTGGCAAACCAGAGCAGCGCACGGAAATGCCGTTTACCTTCCCGCCGGAGTGGTGCCTATTTATCTACTTGCACTTTGGCGTGCTTTCGAACTGCTAGGTTGGCAGGAGCAGGGACCGAGCAACAGGAGCTCACCCCGTCACGGGGATTCAAACCGCCAACCTTCTGATCGGCAAGTCCTAGGCTCTGTGGTTTAACCCACAGTGCCACCCGATCAGCTTCATACCAGAATGCTCCTCACTTGAGGAATGTGGACTCAAGCGATGGCGGGCATGTGTGAACGTGGTTTGGCAGATATAACATCTCAAGCATTCATCATTAACTGAAATGCCTTTTTTCTCAATGAAGTCAGTTCACTCACTGACCTGCCACACATCAGGCCTTATATGGAGTTGGACAACTGATCCATCCAGCACAGAATGTCTGCACTGACTGGAAGTGGCTCTCCAGAGGTTCAGATGGGAGTTTCTCCAAGTCCTACCTTGAGATTGAACTTCTGCATGCAGAGCTGATAATCTACCACTGAGCTGCAGCTCAGTGCCCTGACTAGCCTGCCTTCTGTCAGTCCACCAATTGCCTTACAACCAGTCCAGAGGGTGGCACTGTCTCCTCTTTGCCTGCCGCCTCACAGCTGCCCCCTGTAGAACTCAGCAAGTAGGAGAATTAGTTCTCTCTGCCTATCATTGGCTCTGGCGCCTCCTACTGTTACACTCTCGGCCTTCTGCCCTCCCATCCCCAATGAGTTTCAGCCACAACTTGATACCTGTTGTGGGGTTTGCAGCCAAATCACAAATGCATGTTTTGCTAGACAAGCACGGGACTAGTGCACAGTGAGTTCTTAAAGTTCCTAGAAAGGACCCTCTGTGTGGTCACTTCCCCTGTTTCCTCTGGGCAGAAATTCTGTAACAAAGGAAATACAGTGGTACCTCGGGTTGAAAACTTAATTCGTTCTGGAGGTCCGTTCTTAACCTGAAACTGTTCTTAACCTGAGGTACCACTTTAGTTAATGGGGCCTCCTGCTGCCGCTGCACAATTTCTGTTCTCATCCTGAAGCAAAGTTCTTAACCCGAGGTATTATTTCTGGGTTAGCGGAGTCTGTAACCTGAAGCGTCTGTAACCCGAGGTACCACTGTAACCTGTTATACTTCCTCCTGCCTCTGAGGAGACTCTTTTTCCACCATGCTTCCACACTGATCAGACATGTGCCTGGGGGCTCCACACACATGCATTCTATTTTGCAGCCAACATTGGTATTTTGTACCTCAGAAGTTTTTCTTACCTGTATTGTAGTTGCTGCCTGCATTGAGATGTAAGTAAACCTTTTTTGTTTATCTTACTAAAATGCATGGGCATAGCCAGGGGGACGGCTGCTCCCCCCTCAAATCAAGCAAATAAACGAAAACACTTAACTAACTGACCAATTGAGTTGCAGATAGCTCGGTTCTGCCCCCCCAACAAAAGTCCTGCCCCCCTAACATAAATCCTGGCCATGCCCATGCTAAAGCATGTGGTTCATTCTCTGCAATGTGAGTGAAGAGGGGGAGGTCAGCAGAGTACAAATGAAAAGGATTAAAAAATGTGTACTTGCCTTATTCCTAAACTTCAGCAAGTTGCAAAAGGCATAAGTGTTCTACTTTGCTAAAAAGGCTTCACTTACTTTTGCATTTCTCCCACACATATGGGATAGGTGGTTTAAATTTTAATCTACAGATTTAATCCTCAATCCATCTCCTACACCTGTGGCATGGAGTGGTGATTTGCATGTGTGAATGGGGCCACCATAGATATAATACCATACACACATTGTACATATTTCCTCAAACACAACGCTTGTCGATGGCATCTGTTCACACATTCAAGCTGCTATCACCATGTTTTGAGGTTTTCCAGTAATGTTATCACACATCCAGGTCAACTCTTGTGGCAAACATGCATCTGTATGACAGCCCACATAAGTCAATTACCTCAATTCAAGCGGCGATTTGCATGTGTGAATGAGACTATTTGGATAAAAGGGTCCCACTGCCTAGTGAAATCCTTTAGTATGTAGAGTGAGCAGTGTTTGGCTAGTGAATCTTGGTTGGAGAGTAGACTTTACCTGTTTCTAATCACACAGAGAGATGCTTGTGGAGTGAGAACAGCAACAAAGTGCTTAATTGTAGGAAGGACACAAGTTGGATAGAAAAGCAATTGTGCTTGCTCCATTGTCCTCTCAGATCCAGGGTAATCTCTCGTATTGAGGTTTGAGAGGAAGAGGAGGAGGAAGCTGCAAACAGGACACACCTGAGATTATCAATCTAAACATCAAAGAGATAGAGAAGGCAGTTTATGTATTATAGGTACAGGGATAGCCTGGGAATGTGGAGATCCCTCACTCTGTCTGCCTCCTGTACACCCTTCTTCTGCAAGTTGAGTTGCATCCGAACTTCCAACAGGGAGCAACACTGATCCAAAACCACACACTGAACTTTGGCAGCAGTTCACATCATGTTCAACTCAATGTTTTTCAGTGAAGTCACTACATACAGTACACTCATTTACAAATCAAGCATGCAGGTTGTCCTAGCACAAGCAACATATCTAATTACACCAGCATTCATACGTATACAGAAAAACAGTGGAGCACTGTAACAACATTATTGCAGCGCAGAATGCTCTGGATCAGAGTTCTGGGACTTCCATTTCTCACCCCTAGCCTCATTTCCGACCCCGTACCCTTCAAAAGTCAGCCAGCCCTGCTGTTGTTGTATATTCTCAGCGTGAACCAGGAAGCAGTGGGGGCTGGTCCATTAGGACAAATGGGGCACAGCTCCACCAACCTCATTCTGGCAGTCCCCACTTGCCTGCCTTCTAACTCATATCCAATCCAAGGGATAGCCCTGACCATCAGCTTCCTTAGGCTCAGTGTTGCCCTTTTAGGACTCAGCAGAGAAGAGGATAGGGACAAACTAGACTTTCATTGGCAAAATTAGGGCTCCTTGTCTTCCGCCCCACCAGCACCAATGAGCATCAGCCACAACTTCCAGGAAGTGACCTAGCCTGCAGTTTACCATGATGTCGATTGATTGACAGGTGGGATGTCCCACCCACCTGTCAAAGTTGGCCCACAGGGGTGGGGACCAATAAGGATCTGGCCCACTAGGCCAAGAAGGTTCCCTGCCTGATAGATATATAGATACAGATGTCTTTGTCCTCTTATTCCAGCCACACTGTACAATTTGCCCTTCCACCTAGTTATCAAGCTTTCCACCTATCGCTCACACAACATTTTATTTCCCTCTCCTACCCAGTCGCCAGATTCCACACCACCCCAGTTTCTCAATATTTTAAAATGATTAAAGAATTTTAAATATGAAACAGTTTATAAATGCTCAAAAAATGCTTTTAAAAAATGAAGAAAATATTCAACGCCACCAAGTTGTTAGATTCTTTGCTCAGGGTCGTTAAAACAAAAAAAGGATTGTGAAGAACTCCTAAAAGACCTCTCCAAATTGAGGGAATGGGAGGTAAAATGGAAAATGCAATTCAATGTAAACAAGTGTAAAGCGATGCATGTCATGGCAAAAAAAAGGTCTTAATTCCACCTACATGCTCCTGGGGTCTGTACTGGTGGTGACTGCCCAGGAACAAGACTTTGGGTTGTAGCAGACAGCTTGATGAAGACACCCACCCAGTGTGTGGCAGTGGTGAAAAACGCAAATTCCATGCTAGGAATCATTAGGAAAAGAACTGAAAACAAAACAGCCAGCATCACACCACCATTATACAAATCTATGGTGCTACCGCATTTGGAATACTGTGTGCAGTTCTGGTTGCCTAACCTTGAGAAGGATAGAGTACTGTTGGAAAAGGTTCAGAAAAGGGCAACCAAATTTCTAGAATCAGTTCAGGAGGAGTTCAGGGGCAGGGCAAGAAGTTCAGAACTGAACGGAAGCAAAGGGAGATGTCCTAACAAGATCCTGCTGCCCCCAACAAGCTTTGAAAGAGGAGGTGTGATGTGCCAAACTCACTTGTGACTCCCCTCTTGCCTTGTGGGAATATCAAGATTTCAACAGCACGCTCTGCCACGGTGGGTGGGTGGGCCTGCTCCCATCTGTGAATGCAACCAGCTAGCAGTGTTTCTCAAACTTGTGCCTCCAGCAGTTGTTGGACTACAACTCCCATCATTCCTAGCTAGCAGGACCAGTGGTCAGGAATGATGGGAGTTGTAGTCCAACAACAGGTGGAGTCCCAAGTTGGAGAAGGACTGATAGATGAACCTTGCTGTAGGCCTCTAGTATATTTAAGAATGTAATATTTGTCCTGCTGGATCAGACTGCAGTTGACACCCATGCCATACATTTAAAACATTCCTCTCCAAAGAATCTTAAATTTATGGTGGGGGTGGGCCTTTTATGTAGTCCAGGATTCTGCTTCAATTACACAACCCTTGGAAGCTCACAAGCAGACCTCAAAGATAATAATAGAATCACAGAACCGTAGAGTCAGAAGTGGCCCCGAGGGATATCTAGTCTAACTCCCTGCAATGCAGGAATCTTTTTGCCCGACGTGAGGCTCAAACCCACGACCCTGAGATTAAGTGTCTCGTGCTCTACCAATCGAGCAATCCCTTACACAAGGTAGCTAATCCCACTGGAGTTTTCCTTCAGCAATTGGTGTTGCCAAGAGGTATAGACTGGCTCTGAATATGCAGGCTTCAATTCATCATCGTAATTAATAGCCATTGACAGATGATCGGTGTGCCTGATCCTTTCAAAAAGCTGTTAAAGCTAACGGCCATCATTTTATCTTGTGACGGAGAGTTCCACAAGCTAAGTGAATACTTTATGAATAGGCAAAATGTGTCCTTGGTGAGCTCAGGCGCTCTTAAGACTGGATTTTGTCTCTCCTTGCCATCACCCATGACCACCCGTTTGAACCCAGCCAGCGGGTTGATGATCCTTATCGGGGATGGGTGAATCTGTCAATTTTGCCCGATATACACATATTTACAAAGCATATTTCCCCCTGACTTCAAATCATAGAATTGTAGAGTTGCAAGGGACTCCAAAGGTCATCTAGTTCAACTCCCTGCAATGCAGGATTTGCAGATATATAAAATGATTGCATGTTATTTTCACTTGTAGATGCATTTGATTTTGCTGGAGAACGGCACTGCAAAATTCAAAGGTTTAAGGGTAGCTGCAGTCACGGTATGCATATTCTTTTAGATACTACAGATTAGTTAGATTTGCCTTTAAATGCAAACTGAAATAGAATTTCTCCACCATCTCTAATCCTTATATACATGGGGACTTGCACTGAAGGGGCTGTTGCAGTTGTTCATGTCCTTTGAAGAGGCAACACTTCCCAGCGCTACTTGGCCGGAAGCTGTACCTCAGCAGGGCTTGGATAAGATCAGAGGGGACGGCAGGCTATTGAAATAACAAGAGCCCTACAAACAACTCTCAGTGTCCCTTCTGGTTTCGCTTCTTCTGACAAACAAAAAACAAAACCACACACAGTTTCTGTAGCTTTGTAGGTGTGTTTTGGGTAAGGGATAAGCCTGGATCTAAAAAAGTTCCTATGCTTTGGGTGAATTTCTCTCTTGCACCAGATCAGCCACTCACTCAGTGTCTCTCATCTGCTCCTCTTCTCTGACCCTCCTTAACTTCAGTCAGTTTCTTTAACTGCTCCAAACAGAACAGCACACCAGAAAGGCTGCTGGTGGTTCGTGGATGCCGTCAGTTCAGCTTAATGCAATTTGGAGCTTGTTCTTATTGGGAACTTTGTGGCTGTTATTACCCTGGTGGGAGTGTTTTGGCTGTGGTTCTTGATCTCACTAGGAGAGGGGGCAGTTGCCCCAGGAAACCTTTGCCTTGGATCAAAGGTGGATCATAGAATCATGGGGTTGGAAGAGACCCTAAGGATCATCTAGTCGAACTGCCTGCAATGAAGGCATATGCAGCTGTCCCATTCAGAGATTGAATCTGCCACCTTGGCACCATCCTCTATCCTACCAGGCTATCTACGTGTCCCCTAATACAGAGCCTTATTTTTGAGACTTGCTCTAATAATAACAATAGCAATAGTATATTGATACAGTGAAGATAAAGGTAAAGGGACCCCTGACCATTAGGTCCAGTTGTGAACAACTCTGGGGTTGCGGCACTCATCTCGCTTTACTGGCCGAGGGAGCTGGCGTATAGCTTAGCTTCTGGGTCATGTGGCCAGCATGACTAAGCGAACCAGAGCAGCGCACCGGAAATGCCGTTTACCTTCCCGCTGGAGTCGTACCTATTTATCTACTTGCACTTTGATGTGGTTTCGAACTGCTAGGTTGGCAGGAGCAGGGACCGAGCAATGGGAGCTCACCCCGTGGCGGGGATTCGAACCGCCGACCTTCTGATCGGCAAGCCCTAGGCTCTGTGGTTTAACCCACAGCGCCACCTGCGTCCCTTTATCAACACAGTAGATAATAGCTATTTATCACCAAAGAACTGGGGATAAAAAACTTGCACAACTTCAGAATGTCAGAATTAACTTTTCAGAGCGTTGTCACATTTGAGCTTTGACTTCCCCCAAAAAACATAACTTCCCTAAAACATGACCTGTTATTTAAGTTTATAAGACTCATGTTAAGCATCGAATAGCTAACTTCACTACTTTTGTACATTCCCATATATATATATTAGTTTTAGGTGTACATCCAATTTTTTATTTTATTTTTTTAAATTCAAAGTGTGAATGCAATATAGATGTATTTGTTGACGTACGTGTTTCATACTGATACACTTGGTAGGCAAATGTGATTGGCTGTGGTTTGCTGCTGCATGGAAGGTCAGCGGCAAACCCAGTTCTGTTGCCGTGTAATGGATGAAATGGCCCTTGGTTAAGAAGGAACCCAAATCTTGCTAAGTTGCCGGTCACCCGGCACTAACAAATATTTGGTTTGATGGCCTACAACCAGGCACTGGGTGTGTTGCAAAAACTTATTTCGCTTATTTATTTAAAAAGAGGCCCTTAGTTATAAGGTTACCAGACATCCCCGTTTCCGGGGACAGTCCCCGGATTTACAAATCAGTCCCCATACAAAATCCATTGAAGTTGAAAAGTGTCCCCGGATTCATTGAAAAAAAATCTGGTAACCTTACCTTAGTACCTTAAAAGTAAAGGGACCCCTGACCATTAGGTCCAGTCGTGACCGACTCTGGGGTTGCGGTGCTCATCTTGCTTTATTGGCCAAGGGAGCCGGCGTACAGCTTCTGGGTCATGTGGCCAGCATGACTAGGCTGCTTCTGGCAAACCAGAGCAGCGCACGGAAATGCCGTTTACCTTCCCGCCGGAGTGGTGCCTATTTATCTACTTGCACTTTGACGTGCTTTCAAACTGCTAGGTTGGCAGGAGCAGGGACCGAGCAACGGGAGCTCACCCCATCAAGGGGATTCGAACCGTGACCTTCTGATTGGCAAGTCCTAGGCTCTGTGGTTTAATCCACAGCGCCACCCGCATCCCTTCCTTAGTACCTTACTAGTACCTTAGTACTAGTACCTTAGTACCTAAAACAGGAGCAACTCCAATGCCACCACCACCCACAGTCTGGTCAAGGAAGCCAATTCTGGATCCAGGGAAAATAAATCCACAGTGGTTTATTGACACTTGCAACTAAAATCTGGAATCCCTGGGAGATACACCCCAAACCCCTGAGACTAGGCTTTAGCAAATATTCCCCAGTCCATCGCCCAATAAATAATAGAACCTCCTCACATTTGTTTCCCCTGCTTGAGTTGACATTAATTAATATGCGCTAATTAATCTACAGCGCTGTGGTAAATACAGCTATGCTATGCAGCCGAAGCAGGTTGTGCCGTTGTGGGCTTCTGTGTGCCTTTAGCAGTTTAGCTTGTTAACGGGTGCATTAATATTATAACAGTTACTGCTAGGAATACTGTATTATTCAAAGTGTTAACAAACGCTGTACAGTTAAATATGCCCATTAAGGGGTTACAGTGCCTTTAAAGTTTTCAGTATTTTACAGGAGCACGGAAGAGTGGATGGGAGCAAATAATTCACTGACCTGGTTTCAAAACTGCACCCCTAAATTAACATTGCCACTGCAAATAACTACCGGTATGTGAACTGATCCTAAATTATGTTGCTTTATTCCATACGTATCATTTTTTTGGTCGGTGAGGGAGCAAGCATATAAAGTAAGAGAATATCTGAGATCCACTGACTGTGATCCTACCTGATCATTGCTTAAGTCTGCCCAATGTTGTTCGGTAAATAAACATTGCTAATCCTTTCTGTTCCAGGATCTCCTCTTTTCGTTGCCTCTGTTATAGTAATATTTAAAATTTAAATATTTAGAATTACTTTCCCTAAGCACTCAGAGCATTTTATGTATGTGGATATTACAGATTTGAGGGACGGGAGTTGAGGGATCATGGCTTCTCAAGGGTTTGTGGCTGAGGTAAGATTTGAACCAAGTACACAGTGATAAACAATTGTTTGTGCATGTATGAAACAGAGCTAACAGGGGATGTTTGTGGGTGGGGGAGACAAAATGGTTTTTGGCACCTTCCAGCTCTGGTTCCATTATTCTAAGGATGGGTTTTCACCCACACATTCTTAAACAGCAGTGGTTTAGTCCAGGAGTAAAGTCCTTCATTCCTGTATTGCCCATATTGCAACGCACTGGTGAGTAAGGGTAGACAGTACAGAAGGGAAGGGCATTACTGCATGAGCTAACACTGTAAGAACCAGGCTGCTAGATCAGCTTAGTGAAGCATTCTGTTTCCGACAAGCAGAGATTTCCAGGAAGCCCAAATGGAGGGTGTGGATGGAATAGCTTTCCTCAGCTGCTTGCCCCTGAGCAGCTGGCATTTAGAGGTGTATTGAATCTGAACCTGGAGGCTCTATTCAGCTGCTGTGGCTGGCAGCCGTTGGAGACACATCCTCCATGAATTTGCCTAATCCCCTGTTAATTAAAGTAATTTAGGCCCATAGACATCACCAAATCTCATGCACCGATTTCCATAAGTTAATTGGACGCTGTGTGAAGAAGCCCCAATCTTTGGCCTGTCATGAATCTACCAGCAATCGGTTCTCCTGACATGATCCTGAGCTCCAATATTATGAGAGAAGGAGAATTATTTATTTACCTACCGCTGGAGTAAATTATGTTGTGAACCGCCCTGTGATCTTCAGAAGTAGGGTAGTATACAAATAATGAATGAATGAATGAATGAATGAGACTGCTGTGTGAGGGTACAGGTTTGGAGCCGGTCCGACCATTGGGCAGAGTGAGGCAGCTGCCTCAGGAGCACATCCTTCCTAACTCAACCTTTCTGTCCCAGCACAACTCCTACCATTTCCTCTAGTCCAGCCTGGCTTCAAAGGGAACCATAACTTAGGGTGCGGGATCAGAAGCAGGTTCAGTCTTCGTCATACTGTGGTGTTTTTTTTGGGGGGGGGGTCCTCCTCCAAAACTGCTGATATCATAATGCTAATATACAAATCTATGGCGTGACTGCATTTGGGACTGTGTACAGTTCTGGTTCCCTCAGCTCAGAAAGGATATTGTAGAGTTGGAAGATGTTCAGAAAAGAGCGGCCAAAATAATCAAGGAGATGGAGAGGTTCTCCTATGAGGAAAGGCTGCAGTGTTTGGGATTTTCCAGTTTAGAGAGAAGGCAAGTAAGAAGTTTCTTAAAAACATGCACAGCCTGAAGTGGACAGAGGAAAGCTTTTCTCCCTCATAACACGTGGACATCCCGTGAAGCTGAACACAGGAGGATAAAAGTAAAGGTAAAGGGACCCCTGACCATTAGGTCCAGTTGTGACCAACTCTGGGGTTGCGGCGCTCATCTCGCTTTATTGGCCGAGGGAGCTGGCGTACAGCTTCTGGGTCATGTTTGCTTCTGGCGAACCAGAGCAGCACACGGAAATGCCATTTACCTTCCCGCCGGAGTGGTACCTATTTATCTACTTGCACTTTGACGTGCTTTCGAACTGCTAGGTTGGCAGGAGCAGGGACCGAGCAATGGGAGCTTACCCCGTCACGGGGATTCGAACCGCCGACCTTCTGATCAGCAAGCCCTAGGCTCTGTGGTTTAACCTACAGCGCCAGCCGCATCCCAATGGATAAAAGTAAGTACTTCTTAAATGGACAGTAGAGGCATGGAATAGTTATTTGTTTGAACTTATTCAGTCGGACATTGTCGCAGTCGTGTCACAGGAAACAACGTGGAAGGTCAAGTCCACCATGATAAGGAACAGATGGAACCCCATCTTCAATGGATAAAAACTACTGGAAGAAAAGACATTCGGTGGAAACTAAAGATGCGTGGCTGAGGATAATAGTTTGAACCCTTCCAATGGATATGGGGGGGGGGGGAGGGAAAGGAAAAAATTGTACGGGAAATTTAAAATTGGAACAAGATAATATAATGTATGTAAAAATCCCGAACTCGAATAAAACTTAAAAAAAAAAGAGAGAGAGAGAGAGAGAAGTACTTTTTAATCTAGCACATAGTTAAACTATGGAACTATCCCTTGCAGGAGGCAGTGAGAGCCACCAGTTTGGGATGGCTTTAAAAGTGGATTGGGCAAATTCATGGAGGATAATGCTATCCATGAGGACTAGGCAATGATAACTGTGTTCTGCCTTCATGGTCAAGGGCAGCAATGCTTCTGAATACCAGTTGCTGGAAACAACAGGAGGGGAGAGTTGCTGCCTGCAGCTTTCCCAAAGGCACCTGGCTGGTCGCTGGGAGAACAGGGTTGCTTGGTTAGATGGGACGATGGCTTGACTCATCAGGCTCTTATCATGCTCTTAAAAAGTAAAGGGACCCCTGACCATTAGAGTCGTGACCGACTCTGGGGTTGCGGCGCTCATCTCGCTTTATTGGCCGAAGGAGCTGGCGTACAGCTTCTGGGTCATGTGGCCAGCGTGACTAAGCCACTTCTGGTGAACCAGAGCAGCGCATGGAAACGCCGTTTACCTTCCCACCCAGCGGTACTTATTTATCTACTTGCACGTGCTTTCGAACTGCTAGGTGGGCAGGAGCAGGAACCAAGCAACGGGAGCTCACCCTGTCACGGGGATTCAAACTGCTGACCTTCTGAAAAGCTCTTACATTCCTCCTAATTTTTTATTTGCAATTTTCAAACCTTACAGTCTTCTCCAGGACTGCTGATACCCTCCCTCTTGAATGTGGTGGATGGTGTCCTTTTGCCAGTAAAAGGAGCAGTGTATTGAAAACTGTGCTTTGATTAGTAACTATGACAACAAAACCACAATCCTGAGTGTGAAAACTGGTGCATCCTAGCAAAGGGCTGAAGCAGACTTTAAGGGGCCAATTAGAAGCAGAACAAATTTCTGGGCCTCCTAAAAACACTTTCAAAGGTCTTTCTTTCTTTCGTTCTTTCTTTCTTTTTCTTTCTTTCTTTTAAGAAAGTCAATGAACATCTGTTAGAATCCAAGGACAACTCAGCATGCCAGAGAGTGAGAGCGAATAGATTTTTATATGTATTTAAATTTATAGCCTGCTCCATCCCAAAGGCTCAGAGGAGGTAAAAAGCAAATAGAAATATCCTGTTAAAAATCAATTAAAACACATAAGAATGTAACAGATCTTAAACTCCCTTCAGCTCTGTGCTGGCTTAATGCTGGCTGCCTTCATAAACCAAGTCAAACAGAGAGATCTTACAGTGGGATGGAAGGGCAGATAGATAGTTTCCTGCACATTACAGCAGTGGAATTTAGTCTCCCACACACAGAGGGAGAGAGAGAGAGAGAGAGAGAGTACATCCAGTATCTCTAGAAAGCTTAAAGTCCATGGGAAGTGGAGCTGCAGCCTTTGCCAACTTGGCTCCCTGTAGACATCATTGGACTCCAACTCCCATCAGCCCCAGCCAGCATGGCCAATGATTAGAAATGGTGGAGCCCAACACAATCTGGAAGGCCATGCATTCCCCATGTTTGTTGCTTCAGGATTGAACTAGGATGAAGAGCGCTTATCCCTCTAGACTGATGCTGTGGCTCAGTGGACCCAAGGCTGTTTACTCTGGGCTCAGGCTCTCCTGCCTCCTCTCCCTACTTTGTAAGCTTTAGCTCGTTTATTTATTTACTGCTTTGCTTATGGGGGCTTCTGAGTACGCTGCAAAACACAGTACTGACGTGACCTCAGCAACTGCCCTGGACTCCTTCGGGAGGAGTAGTGGGGACACACATCCTAATAATAATCCGTATTTATTTGCTCAGAGAACTAGATTTGCATCTAAGCACATATATTAGCATATGCAGATTTAATGCAAATTTGTGGCATGGGCCTGTTCTCTTAATCTTCTGACTATCTAGCAATGCCCCTGCTGGATCCCCCCCCCCCCCAATATCCTTTTCTGAAAAATGCTGCAGCTCTGGAGACTGCACCCCTCACCCATTATGATAACTGACATTCCTCACCTTCTTTACATGACAATCATCAGGCAAGGCCTCTTTCCACCTGCCTTGCCCCACCCTCAGGCCCTGGGACTCCTCAAAAGGGAGCTGTGCCTGGAGGAAGAACTGTGAGGGGAGAGACTCCATCAGGCAAGGCCTCCTTCCACCTGCCTTGGCCCACCCTCCAGTCTCTGCTTCTCATTCTGTATTGTTGTGCACTGTGGCTTGCTGTTGTTTTATTGATTGGAGTTTAGAAATTACTTATTGTAACTGTTAAGAGTGGGTTTCTGTTTAATCTTGAAATGCTGGTATTTAATATTCTATATTATTTTGATGAATGTTGAATGTTATTTTATTTGCATATTGTATATTGTATTATGCATATTGTCTGATTTATATGATGTTAGCTGCTCTGAGCCGGCTTTGGCCGGGGAGGGTGGGACACAAGTAAAATTTATTATTATTATTATTATTATTATTATTATTATTACTATTATTTCAGCAATTTTTTTCCTGATTCCTGCCTACTGAGTTCTTGAAACATGCAGTGAGCTCATAGGCAACCTTTTTGCACCTCCCCGCAGCCCCCCCCCCGTTCTAATACAGTGGTACCTCAGGTTACATACGCTTCAGGTTACAGACTCCGCTAACCCAGAAATAGTACTTCAGGTTAAGAACTTTGCCTCAGGATAAGAACAGAAATTGGGCTCCGGTGGCGCGGCGGCAGCAGGAGGCCCCATTAGTTAAAGTGGTGCTTCAGGTTAAGAACAGTTTCAGGTTAAGAACGGACCTCCAGAATGAATTAAGTACTTAACCCGAGGTACCACTGTATTTATTCCCTGGGAGGTCTTCCAAGCCAACTGCCTCTGTTTTCTTATTTATTTTATTGATGAACGTCCCCCCTTAACACAGCCACAGATACGGAAGTTCAAGTTAAAATGTGGGCAGAGGGGACGGGGGATGCAGAACAAGTAATGGTTTATATGCTTAGGGGTGCTCAAGCAGTTGCTTCCTCACCTTAGTTTTAGAAACACCTTTACTGAATATAGCTGAATAGTTTTGAACGAGGTATGTTCGAATGAAATTATAAAACAGAAAAAAACCAAAAAAAAAACCAAGAGCAAGCATGGTCAGAACAAAATGAAACTACCCTGTGGGCAAAACTGAGCAAACCTCCAACTTTGTTCTGCCTTCAGCCAGTCCCCAACTGCTTGCCTTCTTACATCCAGCTTCCTCTTCCATAGTCTCAGTGTTTCCATTACAGAGATCAAGAGGGAGAATCATAGAATTGTAGAGTTGGAAGGGACCCCTGAGGGTCATGCAATCCAACCCCCTGCAATGCAGGGATCTCAACTAAAGCTTTATAACCTCTTAAGGAAGGAGGGTCCACTACCTCCAGAGGGAGAGGAGGAGAAGAGGAAAGAGGGAGAGATCTAGAATTAAGTTTGCTCTGTCTCTTATTGGCTCCAGCTCTGCCTGCCATTAGCTCTGGCTCCCCCTGCCATTGGTCTTTCTGCATTCTGCTCTACCATTCCCAGGGGGGCGGTTCACCCCAGGTGCCATGTCTGGGGGGTGACAAGAAGGCACCCCGTGGGGGCTCAAGCAGCCATCGCACCACCGCAGCCGCATGTGGAGGAGCCTCCATTCGCAGCTGTAGCCATGAGCAGAGGATCCCGGCGCCAGCAGCAAACCACTATGTACAGTGCATGTGCGGCATCACACACATGCACTGTACGTAACTATGCCGCACATGCACTGTACATAGTGGTGCACCGCTCGAGCGCTGTATGGACGGCAGTGGGATCCCTCCGTTGCCACTACAGCTGCATGTAGAGGATCCTCCGTTCGCAGCTGTAGCAGCGACAGAGGAATCCCAGCACCATCTGTACAGCACTGGAGCAGCGCTGCCGGCAAACCACTATGTACAGCGCATGTGTGGCGGCGCTATATACAGCACATGTGTCATACTTAGCGACGCTGCACATGCGCCCTACGTAGTGACGCCCTGCCCCAGGTGTCACAATGCCTTTGTTCGCTCCTGGGCACCAGCCACCACTGATATGCTAGATCAGACCATTTGTCTATCCAGCCTAGTGCAATGGAGATAGCTCAGTTGGTAGAGCATGAGACTCTTAATCACAGGGTCATGGATTCAAGCCTCACGTTGGGCAAAAGATTCCTGGATTGCAGGGTGCTGGACGAGAAGACCCTTGGGGTCCCTTCCAATTCTACAGCTATATGATTCTAAGCCTACACTAACAGTCACCAGCTCTTAGGCGAGCATCTTTCACATCACCTGCTCCCTGCTCCTCTTCACGGGAGATGCCAGGGATTAAACCCAAGATCTTCTGCATGCAAAACATGTGTTCTGCCATTGCACTGCAGCTCTACTGTACACACCAGCATATAAGAGCCAGGACACTCCTTCACAAACCTGCCTGCTCTAGTGAGAAATTAGGGATTTCCCCACCACATTTTCTGTTGGCCCAAACACGGACCCCCTCCATTTTACTCTTCTTTAACAGCCCACTCCTTCCCTTCTGCTCCAAGAACAAATAACTGATCACATGGCGAGCCTGTTCTGCAATGGCAGAACTTCAGATGAAAGGTGAGGGACTGCACAACCGAGTGCCCCCTATTAAAAACAAACTATCCTGCAAAAGCATCCCTTGCCCATAGGAAGCAAGAAGCCAAGATGAATCATCCAAGTACTACTGGCACACCAGCCAATTCCAGGCTGCTGGTAAACCAACCATGACCATTTCTGGATTGGGATAACAGCGACCTATGTGCTGGTAGCCTAAAAACTGGGCTACCGTAAAGTGCTCCATGTGGGGCTGCCCTTAGGCTTGGTTTGGAACACTGGGGTTTGCTGGTGTGGAAGGCAGGGAGCCCAACAGTAGGTGGCGGCAGAGAGCCAATGACAGGCAGATCCAACTAAGCCTAGTTTTGGCCCTTCCCTTCTCCCTGATGAGGTCTACAAGGGTCTACACTAAGACTAAAGAGGAGGAGGAGGAGGAGGAGGAAGCTGACAGTTCTAAGTAAGAAAGAAGGCAGGTGGGGGCTTGCTGAGGTTAATGGGACCCTAATGAACCACCCTCCACTGGTTCAGAAACAGCAAGTAGTGTGGGATGCTGAGACCAAGCTGTTTACTGGTATATCCTACTGAACACACACAACATCTCTCATGACGGAATCCCAAGAGTTACTAATCTGCTGTTGAGCCAAGGTGAAGGCACTGTTGTTACTGGGCCCTGTGCACAGACTTCCCAGCATTCAAAGACAAGCTCCAGTGGATTGAACAGATGAGAGCAACAGTGGGCCCAACAGTCATGAAGGCGGTTTCTGCACAAGGAAGTGAGGGGCAGGTGGGGCTTGCTGACCTGGGAAAGGAGCCCATGTAGGAGAAGGCAAACTCTGATCCTAAACCTTCACTGCCTTGTGGGACATCCTCCGGGAGAAGAAAAGGCTAAGGAGTAAACCCTACACAAATCTGCAGTGGAGTCCCCAAGCCTGTTGGATGGTGCCTTGTACGCCTCCTTCTGGCAACTCCTGGAGCCAAGCTGGTGCCAAACATATTGCTCTGCTTTCCTTTGGACCACATCAGTGAGGCCAAGAAGCAGGGTCTTGTCATCTGGGCAGCCCAGGACCTCCATACACACTGCCCAGGCTTGCACCCCATGGAAGTCACGTTGGTGCTGCTAGCACAGCAGTTTGACTTCATCCCTGGAGGCGTACTCCATTGTCTCTCGAGACAGATGGATGCTAACAACACCAGGCCCTGTGCAACTTGAGACCCGGTTATCTGAGAGATCACCTTCTCCTATACGCCCCCACAAATATCTCCAGAAGAGGTCCAGCTGGTGGTGCCATGGCCTGCCTTAACTCATCTCACATCAATCAGGAAAAGAGAATTATCTGCTGCGGTTCCTGCACTGTGAAAAAGGTTCCCCTTAGAGATCTGGTGGGCTCCTTTAGTAATGTGTTTCTGCCGGCAATTAAAAACATTTCTGTTCACCCAGGCGTTTGTGGGCTGCTGATTGCTGACTCATTTACTCTCTGTTTGCTGTGTTTACTTTGTGTAGAATGGCCATTTACCAGCGCTACCCATGGGAAATGGCTGTGTACTGCTATTTGTCGCTATTTGGGACAAATATTCCATCTACCCAATGAACGGGCAGGTGTGGATTCAAAATTGCTTAAAGTCATGACATGCATCCTCTTAAGAAAAATAGTGCATGTGTTCTATTTTCCCCAAACAATTCTCAGCAACAACTCAAGGCTTATATTAGCCTCGTTGCAAGTGGAAATTATCTTCCTAGGTAATTTGAGAAACAGATTATTGGATGTCTAAGGATCTGTAGTGAGCTCAAGGTCCATCACAATTCTTCGGTGAGGACACGAGGCCTGAAAGAATACATGGAAGTAAATTCTAGCCACTTGAAGGCCCTGTCATATAGCCAGCTGTCTGAGGCAGTCTTGGAGGAGATGAGAATTCAGAGCAATCTGTCTAAAAATAGTCTATACCTATTAGAGACAGGCCTAGACCGTATAATGGACGGACAGGGAGATATATAATGTCCCCTTGGCTTGCAAGATGGGGAAGGATTCTTGAGACATAAAAGTTGCAGTGTGTGTGTGTGTGTGTGTGTGTGTGTGTGTCTCGAGAGAGGGGAGCAGCATATATTGCCAACAGATTTGAAGCCTGTATTAGTGAGTATAATTTTGTCCCTGGGCCTGTGGGTGCAAATATATGTTTGTTTAGCTGTGCATATACACACCCATGCTGCACATCCACATATATCCAGGTCAGCCTTAAAAGCATACCACATATTTAGCAGAGTAGAATCCTCAGATAAACTGATAGAGGCATCAGGCTGTCTGCTAGTTCTGAGTGAATTCAATTTCACACCTTTGCTCTCTGATAACGGTGAAATACACCCCACTCTGCAAGACAAGGGGTCCCAAAGTAGGTCCCTCTTAAGTTGTGGATCCCCAGGATCTTGTACTACACTTGTTTCCTTATCCTCACCCTCACAACTTCCTAAAGACCTCCCCATATTTCACAAACCTCTTGACACCCAACTCCCGATCTTGCTTGTCCTCCTTAGAATATTTGCAAATATTCCCCAAACTTCTTCCAAATATTCTTTCAAACTCCGGGTTCCTGATTCCCTGCCAGTCTCTGCTTCCTCTTCAACGCCCCCCACCCACCCACCGCTTTCCCCTCCTGCACTCCTCTGCCATGGCCGATTCCTCCCAGCCTCTGTGATCCTCTTTGACACGCCCCCGCCGCGAGTGCCACCGGCTCAGTCCCCAGATCTTTCACCCCGGCCCCTCGCAACCCTCTCCCGGTCCCCCAGAGCCCTTTCCGCGCGGTGGGTCCCTCTTGGTCCTGCAAGCTCGCTCCCCAGATCCCCCCCCTCCCCAGCACCATCCCCACCACCGTCGTCCAGCCCAGCGCTTGCCCGTGTCCGAATCAATTAGAATTGAGATTGGACGCGCAGCGCTGAGGGTAAATATTAAAGCCGGGCGCTTCGCTAATTCAAACCATCGATCAGGCGGGGATGAGAGCAATAAATTATTGTGACAAGATGCAATCCTCGCGCCGGGCGCCTCTGCCTCCATCGATCCATGCGGCCCGGCCTGGCTGCCTGCGCCCTCCCCTGCCTGCAGACAGCGCTGCCCAAGCCCACAGCAGCCGCGGCCTGCGCCCATTACTCGCCTCTGGGCGGCGCCCTGCTACCACCCATTCCCTCACCCCTTCCATTCCCTCACCCCTTGGGGGTCTTTCAGATTCTTTCTTTCTCCAGCTCCCCTATGAATGAGTCGCAGTTTCTCTCCCTCTCTTTCTCTTACACACACACCCAGCCAGAACCTTCTGCTTCCTGTCCTGAGTGGCCTGTCGCACCCATCATTCTCTACCACTCCCGGATCTTCTTGCCGCTGAGCGTCTCCCGGCCCTCTTTGTGGACTCCCAGTGAATGAGGTCTCACCACCACCAACATGGAACCCCACATCCACCTCCCTGTCCATCCTAAATCCTTTTTCTCATTCTGGATTTCCAACATCTTCTCAGTCTCTGTTTTCTCTCCCTCCCAAGAAAGATCACCCTAGTGCTCTCCCACTATCTCTCCAGCCTACCGCCTCCTCCAGACACCCTACACCCATCCTCCTCTTCTCTTTCATGGGACACATCCACACCACATCATGGGAACTGTAGTCTACCCACAACTACAATTCCCGGCACCCTTAACAAACTACAGTTCCCAGGATTCCTTTGGGACACAATGCACCTTAAGTGTCTCCTGACTTCTTTCTGGGCTGCCCCTCCTCCCACTTCTTTGCTTCTTATTCTCCATGGCTGTTCTTTTCTTCCTTTGCCCTGTGTTTTGTTTCTCTCTCCCCCTCTTCAGCCTTCCCTCCCCTGACTCGTATACCAATGTACTTCTGGACAACCAGGGACTCTAAAACTCCAGTTCTTGGAAGATCTGTGCTCTCCTCCTTCCTTAGATTTCCCTTCCTTTAATTTGCACCTGGATACATTTTACTCATGCATGTTCATCACCGGACAACTGCAACTTCCAGTAATAGGCATGGACAAGCGTAACACTTATCATAGTGTTCCATCTGCAAAGCTGCCAGTAGAGAAGAAATAAGAGGCTACCTTTTTTTTTAAGTGATAAAACCACGCAAACATATCCTGAATGAGTCCTATCACAAAGGCATCAAACCCGTCAATGAATTCTAACTATGCTATCTGTAAGACGGTTGAAAGAGAGTTGAATTTGGAGCTGACCTCTCTTAGAAAAAAAGAGTTCTAGAGCTAACTTTGCTCCTAAACAGGACCTCAAAGGCAAGTGCATTGAGGCTTTAAATGACAGGTCACTGCTTGCTTGCTTGCTTGCTTGCTTGATTCATTGATTTGATTCAGAGACCACACCCATTCCTAAGGCAGGTAACTACAGCGGGATGCCAACTGGAATAAAAATTTTTTGGGGGGGCCAGTTAAGTCCTGCCCCACACAATCTATCACAAGATATGGTGCACACACCGCATTTGAAGGGCAATACTCATGAACTTTGGGGGGCCCCAGTCTCCTCAAATATTTTAGAGGGGGTTGAAGGGACCTTGGCCCCTAGGAGTTGGCTCCTATTGCTGGATTTACAAA